TCTATTAAAAGATCAGCCTGGGGGCGAGATTTATGACGTCACGCTAGTTAGATATAACGGATTAATAAATATGTTGTAGAATACATGGAAAACATAATTATTCCTCAGATTTTTGGTTTGTATTTTAAAAATGATATAGTTTAAATGAAATATACATAATATACAGTTAATAACTACAAACATATATACTCTATTTATAGTAATAAATACTTTGGTAAATAAACTATGAACCATACATATGCAGCAAATGTTTTTACAATGTACAAATAATGTATAGGTACATAAGATAATGGGTAAAATGTAAATATATTTTAAATTTTGGGGTTTGAAAATCGATCTAATTTAACAAAAACATTGAATATCTACTAATAGTGATGTATTATTATTTGCATTCACAAAATTTATATGTATATTTTGCAAGTATCAATGTTCGAAAATTATATTTACAAATAATACAATATTATCTAAAAAAGGCGTCAGCGATGGCTATGAAATGAAGATCGCTGGCATTTTATATGTTAAATTATTCACAAAATTTTGATTTTCTTGGGATTTTTAGGTTCGGGAAAAACGCTGATTAAGTTTTCATTTGGGTTTCATTATTTTTATTCGGTTTAAAAAAAAACGTTTCGGCTAACTATAGCCTTCACAGTGTTGTGGTCATATGAGAAAAATAGTGTCGAATATAATCCAAAAAATTACATATACAATATAATTCACACACTCATAATGTTTACTGCAATTAATAAACTAATATAAACTTATCAAAAGATGACCACATATTTTTTAAAATTATTATTCTTAACACTAAAATTATCTACATTGACTATGGAGTACGCAGTAAACATTATGTGCGTGGTGTGCATATTTTATATGCAATTTTTGGATTATATTCAGACACTATTTTTTCTATATATGACACAACACTGATGGAGGCTATAATGTTAGCTTCCGAACCGTTTTTTTTAAACCAAATAAAAAAATAATGAAAACCAAATGAAAAATCAATCAGCGTTTTTCCGAACCTAAATTCACAAGAAAATTCAAAAATTTAGAATATTTAGACATCAAGGTTCTTCAAGAATATCAAAAGAATCAAAGGTTCAAGAATATCAAATTTTCCAAGATTGTGTAAAATTCTAGTTAATTATTTTATGTGTACAGTTATTTAGGGAATGTCATCGATGTTCATTTCCAAGCCAACTAGACGCCGATTTTTTCTTTCGATGATACGGTATAATTCTCTACGTAAAATGTAAATAACATTAGACTAATTAAAACAAAGAAATATGAATTTCTTAGTATTTTTAGTAACACCTTTATTCTTAAAACTTAATTTTGTATTATGCAAATATACCAATTTTATTGTTATTTTATTCATATTGTATTCAGCCATCACTTAAATATTTGATATTAATTTGGTATTATAAATAATCAATACTATTCATTAAAATTACTGAACAAATATATGTTATGCTTAAAGTGTCATACATTATATATTATCAAACAAAAACACATTCTTCTTTTAAACTGTATCAGTCTTGTCTTTACAAAAAATCTTTTAAAATTTGAACTCAAAATAATAATCTTTTTCATGATCTCTAATACACATATTCTTTATTTTTCCCTAGATCATAATACCTACTTCACGTGTTTGAATCTATCAAGCTGAACCAGCAACACTTGGAGTGGAGATTCCACAATATGAATAAAATAAACATAATTGTCCAGTTTTCATTAATACCATCATGGGGAGAATATTATTTTTAAATTTATTAAAGATATTTTCAATAAAAATTCTCTTTTTATAACTGCACTCCACTTTTTCTTGCTCTTCCGGACACTTTAGGCTGCCTAGTATAATAACTATCCTTAGTAACCATCCTTCCACCAGGAACACAACAAAGATGAGGCATAGCACCAATAACACACTCCACTTAAGCTTTATTGATGAATTGTTAGAGTCTTAAAAACACACACACAAAATCACGATAAGTAAAAATGTATGGGCACTTTTGGGTTAAATCACTTGCACAACGTGTAATTTTTAAAATTTCTATTTTTTTTGGTGCAGAAACCGAGAGTGACCATATATCTGGTGCGAAACCGAGAGTAGACCATATATCTGGTAGTAGTTTATGTCACTTCAACACCAAAATAATTAGTTTTTTGCACTACAATAATAAATAATACCAAAAATCAAAGAGTTAAAACCAAAAATCAACCGACAAAATATGAAACGGAATCTAACCCAATATCTAAGTATGTACAGCTGATGAAGTAAACAAAAGTCCGCCCGTAGGCTGATCTTTTAATAGAAGGCATTGCTCTATGTATATATTTTGCTTCAAAGTGAAGCTCACACAATTTATACCGTTTGTATAAAACATCAATTTTGGGAAGTAAATCCGTTCGATGGCATGACTCAATCCATAATTTGGCACTACAAAGAAAAAATATTAGGTAAAGGTGTGGATCCGGTGGCTGACCTTGAAGCCCATATTTGCTGCATTTGATCGTCGATACTACGCAAGCGCACATCGTCGATGTTGCCAAATTGCAGTTTATTTTCGAATTATTTGCAGTTGAAAATTTTTTTTTCAGTGTTAATACCTAATACAAATTCTATAATTAATTTTATAATTTCAGATTTATCTTGATATCCAAAATTAAGGTAAGAAGGATAATAAAGATTGTGAAATGAAAAGTATTATGAATTAATAAAATTGTAATAATGATAACATTTATTTTATATATATTTACATTAGAATTAAAAAATTATCATTTACGGATTTTTTTTCTTAATGGTTTTCAAACTAACTTATTAGAATTATTTTATTTCTTTCAAGTTATTTAATTTCTAGTTATTTACAGGTAACAATAGTTTTGATTATATGTATTTGATGTATTGAAGTACTACCATGACGAGTCTTATACTAGAACAATACACGCCAATGGGAGATAGACGTAACATTTTACCTAGCAAAATAATGTTACTAAATATAAATATACTTTTGATTAAAATATTTGTATCATAATTTCTTTAAAATATCAAGTTAGTGGATTAATAGCAATTTTAGACATATATTTTATCGAAGGAATAGTGTTGATAAGACTAAAATAAGCTCAATAAACTTTATGTTTTATTCTTTTCTCATTAAGAAGAGAGATGGTTTCTGTCGTAGAGATACATTTACGGCATTTAATATCGAGCTTTATGTTTTATCTTTTCTCATTAGAAGAGTAGATGGTTTCTGTCGTAGAATACATTAAGCAGTATTTAATATCGTACTTTGATATTCTTTTTCTTAATTTACTGTAATTTCTTGTTTCCTATTACCAAATCTTGACAATATGGTTGAAGGTTGAGTTTTCGATCTTATTAGTTTTATACCTATGTTTACACAAGACCAAATTAAGACTTAGTTAGTTTGTGATTTATATTAAGATCTTTCTTATAATATTTGTTATGTCTTAATCTTAATACTATATTATGCTTTGTCTGGGAAATAAATGTTAAAATATCTTAATTTTGCATATCCTATTCCATCCTTCCATTAGGAAAAATATGGTTTATAAATCATATATGCTAAGAAAATCACATAAATTAGGTGTAAGAATAGAGAAATCTTAAGGTAGCAGAAAAATTAATGCAATATATGTATAAGCAGAATTAAACAAGGTAACAGTTAATGTTGCTGAAGCTGATTCTACAATTTTAATTACGGAGGCTAAAAGACCTTTTTGAGGCCTCCGTAGTTTTGATGGAATGTTTAAAAAAAACTATTATGAACATGACATGGAGCTACATCAATTAAAAATTAAAAAAAAAGAAAAAACTTGGACACATCCCTAATAATAAATAATATATATATTATAATAATATATTACAATAATATATATTATAATAATATATATACCCATAAATAATTTCCCGAATTTTTAATAAAGCACTTTTTAAACATAGTATAACAATCTAGAGCAATTAGATTAATTATGGGAATCTAGAATTTTATTTCTTTTTAATTTTATTGACTATGAAAATACATAATAAGCGTTCACGTGTTGTGCGAAATATTAAAATAATAATATAAATAATATATACCGGCGTACTATGATTGAAAAATGCCTAAGTCAGCGATGACTATGAAATGAAGATCGCTGTCATTTTATATGGTAAATGTCATTTTATATGGTAAATGTCCCCTAATCGTCATTTCCCAGCCAACTGACGCCGTTTTTTCGATCCTTACGGTATATATTGACAAAAAAACACTGAAAGCCACATATTTGTTTTCTACTGAAAATAATTCCAAAATAACTTTTCTGTAATCTGCAGCATCGAAGATGTGCGCATGCGTAGTGTCAGTGACTATATGCAGCAAAAACTCGTTTCAAGGTCAGCCACCGGATCCACACCATTACCAAATATTATTTATCATGTATAAAAATTTTCATTCAATGGGTTATTCTCAAAGACATGTTATTCTAGATCAGAATAATTTTATTGATTTATATTGAATGTACTTACATCTGTGGATGCTTGGGAAAATAAAACATGCTTTTTCCATCCCCTCCTTACTATGACACCCAGAAATGCACAAGTAATACCAGGCATAATGAGACGCATAATGTCTTCGAGGATAGTTCACAAAAATATTTAACAATAAAAACAACTTTTTACAATAAACACAACGAAACAATAAATACAATTTAACAATAAACAAACACAAAATCAAAGAAAACTGACAGAACACACAAGAATCAAAAGAATCAAATACATGAGAATCATGCAAAAATTTCTACCTCTATATCTCTGAAGAATTTAGTCGTCGTCTATGGTCCATAGTCGTGTCCATGGTCCATACGATCTTAAATTCTTGTTCTGTAGCCATCTAACCTGACTACACATCATATTAAGTAGCAAATTATATATGATGTAGCGAAATAATTAATCAACGAGTAGTTCTTTTGACCAGTTTGTTGTTTGTTTGGTTTGTCAAATAGTTGTCAAAATCAATCAAAAGTCAAAATATGATTTATAATAAAATAAAAACCTATTAATTTTTCTTAGATATTAATTATGAGCACATACGAGATTAGTAAATCGTCGGTATGTATCTAGAATTTGTAGTAGTATATAATTAATTTAATGGATTTAAATATTTTTAGTTATTAAGTTTAAAAGCTGAAATTCTAAGGAAGCAGGAAGATTTAGCCAAAGCCAAGGCAGATAATGCTGAGAAAATCAAAGTAATTAAAAAGAAAAGCCCGTTAGAATTAAAAAATAAAGGGGTTAATGAAAGAGCTAGGCGAGATTTTGGCGATGAAGAACAAGATCTATTAAAGCTTTCCAGGTAAATATCTGTTATATTTTAAGAGTCACAACTCACTATAGTATATTTATAATTATTAAAATACTGTAAGACAATAATTTAAATGTTTGTAGATCAAAACTCGAAACAAAAGCCAAACTATACGATAAGCTATCTAATAGAATACTAACAGAAGATTTAAAGAGAAAATATTTGGTTAGATTTGATGATAAAGATGTAGATAATAAATGTCCTATTGACAATGAAGAAGATCTAGATTTACCACCTGATGATGATGCTGATGACCAATTTTCAGATTACAATGATCATGTTGATTCTTCAGATGAATGGTATTAAGTTATATTAAATTTAAATTGTAGCTAATATAACTAGATAATTTGGTTCTTTTGTTTCTAAAATTTATATTAAACTAAAGTTTCCTATACAGGGTTAGCATTTTTTCAAAAAGATTTATATCATGTTTCTGGTTTCAGACTTTCACTCCAAATATATTTTTAAAGTTGTGTATTTTTAAATAGATATTTTATTATTGTTTTTTTATAAATTGGCCTTTATTGGTTTGAATATAAAACCAATGTATAATTTTATCTATGCAGTAAATCGAAAGGTAAATCTATGTATTTTAGGGTTGAATACATTGACTGTTTGGGTCGATCAAGAAAATGTTTAAGAAAAGATCTAGAATACTTCAAATCAAAAGATGCAGAATTAAAACTAGTAGCAGATAAAAGACATGAGGTTGAATCAAAAAACACTGAAAGCAATAAAGAAATTGGAGAAGAAAACATTGAAACTACAAATAAACCTGAGGATATACAAACTGAACTAGACCTAGTATCAGCTGATATGAGAAAAGATATGTTGAGAAGACAGTGGGAAAAGGAAGAAGAAGAATTAAGAGATAGAAGTGATATTCATTACCAGAATGTATTATTTAATGGTATGAAAATTAATTGGGATTATTATTTTGATGACACTATTTTTTTTTTAGAGGCAAGGCAACATGGTGTTGGGTACTATGCATTTTCAAAAGATGAAGAAGAAAGATTAGTGCAACAACAGGCACTTAAAAACCTTAGGCAAGAAACGGAATTGGAACAGAATAAGGCCAAAAATATTCGTCTTTTGAGAGAGAAGCAGATGGCGGCAAGAATAAAAGCTGCTAGAAATAGGACAAGAGCTAGACTAGGTTTACCACCTGAAGAAGGTATATTTTTTTTATTATATTTCAAGAAAGTTTATTGATTCACATTAGTATCACATTAATATGATTTTTTATCAGTTAGTATGGGTTTAGATGCATCCATAATGTGTTGTTCTGTTGCCTTTTTCAATTTTATTGGTTTATTTCAAAAATGACAAATTATACTTAAACATGATTGGAGTGACAAAATGACTATGATGCATGGCGGATGCATATAAGCTTGTGAGAGTTTTTACCTCACATGCTTTTTGAGAAAAAAAGATATGTTTTTCCGAAGCTGACTTGAGAAATTTTTGCACATCAAGCTATGTAGGTGCATAAAATCTAGTATGCCCTAATAACCTAGTCGGCGAAAATATGAAATGTTATGTTAGTATCACAAATAATATTTGATAATAAGCTTCATAAATTTTAAAGTAATTAACATTTGGGTTTATTTTTTATTCATGCCTTCTAACCAGGGTTCGGAAGTAGTTAATTAAGACGTAATATACCTGATAAACTACGTGTAGTATTTCTTCAAAAACTACGTCTTTTCCCGTTCGTTAACTACATGAAAACTACGTTAATAAACTACCTATTGATATTATGAATAATTTTGCTTTGTATGAGGAGTCTAAATAATATGATGTGAATGGTTATATTTAAAGCCATATTTCTTCTGTTTTCTTAAATAAATTATGTGTTTTCTAAAGCTTTAACTTATTATAACCTCACCTCATACCTTTGACACTTGAAAGTTACATACATATGTTACATAAACTACACCCTCTACATAAACTACACGTAATGTAGTTTATGTAGTTTTTAAATGTAACATGTAGTTTTCCGAACACTGCTTCTAACATACAAATTAACAACTTTTGTATAGAGGTAATTTCTGTACAATTAACTTATTTTGATTCAAACAGAATATTGGAAACGGAAACTCCCTATATTTTGTAGGTCTGTTTTGGAAAAAAAAAATAATTTACTGTTATTTACTCTATGATTGTGTTTCATGAGCGTTCACCACAAAGATCCAGCGCTGAATAAGCAAAACGCAAACAGTTTGTTCTGGTGAACGCGGCCATTGTCACCTGGTATATTATGTCCTTTGTGTTACAGACACTTCATCAGATGTTCCTTCTAATAACAAGCCAGATGAAAATAAAGAAGTATCTGAAGAAAAGGAAAAAGACACAGACAGCGAGACACAGAAAATAGCAGAAGAAAAAAGAAAACGACATGTTCGTCCATGGGATATTGGAAAAGAAGGGCTTAAAGAGCATTACGTTATGAGTCAAAATGAGTGGAATGAAAAGCAGCGACAGGAAAGGAACACAGAATTTGCTCCACCAAAGTCATATCATGGCAGACATTTTAAATATGTAAGAAACATAGAAGAAAATTTAGAAGAAAATAAGTCTCTGAAATTTTCCACAAAGAAAAGTTCGAAAAAAAGAACAAAGCCAAAATATAATGATTACAAAAGTAATCCTACAAAATCTGATAGTGATGATGAACTTTTGAAAGATTTTAAGGAATCTAAATCCTTTAGTACCTCATCTTCTGAATCAAGATTATATGCGTCAATAAATCCGTATAAAAGAAGTTATGAATCAGAAAGTGACTGTCAGAAAACCGACCGAGAATGTGAAGGTCAATCTGGATATAAGAAAGTTAATACATCTACAGAACAACCTAATTTGTCAAACACTGTAGAAGCAGGTTTAAGATTCTTAAGGTCTCAAATTGAAAATTCCTCCTCAAATGGTGGTTAACTTATACTTATAAATATATAGATTTTTCAATATTCTAGTTTTTCTTTGGTGGTTAAACAAATGGTGGTTAACTGATACTTATAAATATTAAATAAGTAGAAAAATGACTCAAAGTATCGGTCTATGTATTATATAAAGGTTGAGACCGAGACTTTGAGTCTTTTTTCTACTTTTTTAATTTAAACCAGGTCTCTTTAAGAGGAATGGACGCCTTTAAACTTATAAATATATAGATTTAGATTTTTCAATATTATACTTTTTATTTAAAATAAGCACATAATGACATTTTCTTGGAATAATATAGATCATATAAGATATTGATCAAGCGAACTTAATAAAAATGTTTTCATAAGAATTTGTCCACAAATTTGTCCTTAGACAAGGAAAGAGAGGGGACGGGTAACACGCATATTCTCCCGTGATCGGATAGTGAGGCCAAAATTCGATCGGCGGCCATCCTTTGGTGACAAGATTTCGAGGTGACACCGAGCGAATTCTTATGTTTTTTGTGACAACTGTTTTGTTTTAAATTTATAAACTGTGTTGTTTAGTATGGTGAGATGTTCAGAGTATGGCTGCAAAGGCCGAAGCGAGGAAAAAGTGGCTGGAATTACATTTCACAGGTAAAAATCGATACACAACTTTTGTTTTGTGGCAAAGAATATCTTAATACCCTAGAAGTCTCGTCTGGCATCAAATCTGGCATCAAAATCTGACCTGTCGATGGGGCCTCGCTTTGGCGAGCGAGGCCACAACTTCGTGGAGCCTCGCTATTTTGCTCGGAATTGAACGAATAGACGCGCGGCGTTGCCTTGTTTTGTGTGTACTTTCTTGAATAGTTTTAAATTATAGTTTTAAATTTTATCTATTTCTATAATCAGTCTTTCCGTTCTCCGCACTCCGCCAGTTTACATATAATATTATCTTATATAATTCCCGTGTTACAGTTTTGGTTACCGTACTCCTCCAAAACGGCTTAACCGATTTTGATGAAATTTTATATGTATATTCAGTATGTCTGAGAATAGGTAGTTATATATTTTTTATACCCTTAAATGATAAGGGTAGCCCACCCCCAATTTTTTATTTTGTGAAAAAACAATATTTTAATTTTTTTTTATTTGGCATTAAAAAATACAAACAACACTAAATTTTCACCGTTCTACTTTCATCCCCTATTTTTTAATAGGGGTTGTTTTTTTAATTTTTTGTTACCATCTCCGAAACGGCTTAACCGATTTTGATAAAATTTTATATGTATATTCAGTACGTATGTATATTCAACGCCACCCTCACTTTTTTTTAGTTTTTGAAAAGAAAAAAATGTTTTTTATTTTTTTATTTGGCATTAAGAAATACAAACAACCCTAAATTTTCACCGTTCTGCTATCATCCCCTATTTTAATAGGGGTTGTTTTTTATTTTTTTTTTGTTGCCATTTCCGAAACGGCTTAGCCGATTTTGATGAAATTTTATAAGTATATTGAGTAGGTCTGAAAACAGGTTGTTATATATTTTTATACCCTTAAGTGATAAGGGTAGCCCACCTCCATTTTTTTATTTTTGAAAAAAAAAAAAAAAATTAAATTTTTTATTTGGCATTAAGAAATACAAACAACCCTAAATTTTCACCGTTCTACCATCATCCCCTATTTTTTAATAGGGGTTGTTTTTTTAAGTTTTTTGTTACTATCTCCGAAACGGCTTAACCGATTTTGATAAAATTTTATATGTATATTCAGTACGTCTAAGAATAGGTTGTTATCTATTCTTATACCCTTAAGTGATAAGGGTAGCCGAGAGGGTAGCCCACCCTCATTTTTATTTTTGAAAAAAAAAATATTTTTTTTATTTGGCCTTAAAAAATACAAACAACTCTAAATGTTCACCGTTCTACCATCATCCCCTATTTTCTAATAGGGGTTGTTTTTTTGTTACCATCTCCGAAACGGCTTGGCCGATTTTGATGACATTTTATTATGTATATTGAGTAGGTCTGAAAATAGTTATAGTCTTATAGTCTATTTTTTATACCCTTAAGTGGTAAGGGTAGCCCACCCCCATTTTTTTATTTTTTGAAAAAAAAAATATTTAATTTTTTTTTATTTGGCATTAAAAAATACAAACAACACTAAATTTTCACCATTCTACCATCATCCCCTATTTTTTAACAGGGGTTGTTTTTTAAGATTTTTTGTTACCATCTCCGAAACGGCTTAACCGATTTTGATAAAATTTTATATGTATATTCAGTACGTCTAAGAATAGGTTGTTATCTATTCTTATACCCTTAAGTGATAAGGGGTAGCCGAGAGGGTAGCCCACCCTCATTTTTTATTTTTGGAAAAAAAATATTTTTTTATTTGGCCTTTAAAAAATACAAACAACTCTAAATTTTCACCGTTTTACCATCATCCCTATTTTCTAATAGGGGTTGTTTTTGATACCATCTCCGAAACGGCTTGGCCGATTTTGATGAAATTTTATAAGTATATTGAGTAGGTCTGAAAATAGGTTGTTATATATTTTTTATACCCTTAAGTGATAAGGGTAGCCCACCCTCATTTTTTTATTTTTGGAAAAAAAAATTATTTTAATTTTTTTTATTTGGCATTAAAAAATACAAACAACCCTAAATTTTCACCGTTCTACCATCATCCCCTATTTTTTAATAGGGGTTGTTTTTTTTTAAGTTTTTTGTTATCATCTCCGATTGACCGATTTTGATAAAATTTTATATGTATGTATATTCAGTACGTCTAAGAATAGGTTGTTATCTATTCTTATACCCTTAAGTGATAAGGGTAGCCGAGAGGGTAGCCTACCCTCATTTTTTTTATTTTTGAAACAAAAATATTTACCCGTTTTACCATCATCCCCTATTTTCTAATAGGGGTTGTTTTTTTGATACCATTTCCGAAACGGCTTAGCCGATTTTGATGAAATTTTATAAGTATATTGAGTAGGTCTGAAAACAGGTTGTTATATATTTTTTATACCCTTAAGTGATAAGGGTAGCCCACCCCCATTTTTTTTTATTTTTTGAAAAAAAAAATATTTAATTTTTTTTTATTTGGCCTTAAAAAAAATACAAACAACTCTAAATTTTCACCGTTCTACCATCATCCCCTATTTTTTAATAGGGGTTGTTTTTTTTAAAGTTTCTTGTTACCATTTCCGAAACGGTTTTGCCGATTTTGATGAAATTTTATTATGTATATTGAGTAGGTCTGAAAATAGTTTGTTATCTATTTTTATACCCTTAAGTGATAAGGGTAGCCCATTCCCATTTTTTATATATTTTGAAAAAATATATATATTTTATTTTTATTTTGCATTAAAAAATACAAAGAACCCAAAATTTTCACCGTTCTACCATCATCCCCTATTTTTTAATAGGGGTTGTTTTTTATTTTTTTGTTACCATCCGTGAAACGGCTTTGACCGATTTTGATAAAATTTTATATGTATATTCAGTACGTCTAAGAATAGGTTGTTATCAATTTTTTATACCCTTATGTGGTAAGGGTAGCCCACCCTCATTTTTTATTTTTTGAAAAGAAAAATGTTTTTATTTTTAGTTGGCATTAATAAATACAAATAACCCTAAATTTTCACTGTTCCACCATCATCCCCTATATTTTAATAGGGTTGTTTTTTTAATTTTTGTTACCATCTCCGAAACGGCTAAACCGATTTTGATAAAATTTTATATGTATATTCAGTAGGTCTGGTTTGGTTTGGTTTGGTCACAACCTATTCCTAGGTTGTTATCTATTTTTTATACCCCTAAGTGATAAGAGTGGCCCACCCCAACTTTTTTTTTATTTTTTAGACAAATCCAAATTTTTCCAAACCAATCCAAAATTTTCTTCTGGGTACACACTTTCATCACTTAAGGGACCTCTGTACAAAATTGCATACTCCTAGTCCTAGAACGGATTTTACATAAAAATTATACAAATTTTTACCCTTAGTTTTACCCCCTTAAGGAATGAATTCCAAAAATCGCTCTAATTATTCAATTACGCTACATAATAAACCTCTGTGCAAATCATCATATATAATCATCATCATATTCCTTGAACAGAATTTATTGTTCCAGAACGTTCAACCCTTCATTTCACACCCTTAGAGGGCGAATTTCCAAAAATTGCTTCTTAGTGCTAAATTACGTTATATAAGGAACGTCTGCAAAATTCATACTTCTAAAACCGATTTTAACAAAGTTTTGTACAAATTTTCATCCCTTATTTTTTAGGGGACGCATGCCTAAAATTCGCTTCTAGGTACTCACTTTCATCATTTAAGGGACCTCTGAACAGAATTTCATACTCCTAGTCCTAGAACGGATTTTACATAAAAATTATACAAATTTTCACCCCTAGTTTTACCCCCTTAAGGAATGAATTCCAAAAATCACTCTAATTATTCAATTACGCTACATAAGGAACCTCTGTGCAAATTCTCATATTCCTTGAACAGAATTTATTGTTCCAGAACGTTCAACCCTCATTTCACACCCTTAGAGGGGCGAATTTCCAAAATTGCTTCTTAGTGCTAAATTACGTTACATAAGGAACGTCTGCAAAATTCATACTTCTAAAACCGATTTTAACAAATTTTTGTACAAATTTTCATCCCTTATTTTTTAGGGGATCATGCCTAAAATTCGCTTCTAGGTACTCACTTTCATCATTTAAGGGACCTCTGAACAGAATTTCATACTCCTAGTCCTAGAACGGATTTTACATAAAAAAATTATACAAATTTTCACCCTAGTTTTACCCCCCTTAAGGAATGAATTCCAAAAATCACTCTAATATTCAATTACGCTACATAAGGAACCTCTGTGCAAATTCTCATATTCCTTGAACAGAATTTATTGTTCCAGAACGTTCAACCCCTCATTTCACACCCTTAGAGGGCGAATTTCCAAAAATTGCTTCTTAATGCTAAATTACGTTACATAAGGAATGTCTGCAAAATTCATACTTCTAAAACCGATTTTAACCTTTTGTACAAATTTTGT